AAATAATTAATTCACAGCAGTCCAGTTTTCTAATAACAAACCGTTTTTAATGAGTCATAAAGGGGGCTTTATGAAAAGGTTGTGAAGATAAACGCATCACCCTTACCTTCTTTGATATATATATATATATATATATATATATATATATATATATATATATATATATATATATATATATATATATATATATATATATATATATATATATATATATATATATATATATATATATATATATATATATATATATATATACATACTATAAAAAAATTAAAAATGTTTTTATCAAGGTTTTTATGTTTATGCTATTATTTATTTTTTATATGATTAGGGCTTTAAATGTAAATTTATGTATTTTTGTATGTTATATTTTTAAGCGTAAATTTATATTATGTGTTTTTTTTATAAAGTCTTCTCTTTAAAAGTTGTATAGATATTGAAATTCAATTTATTTAAAAACTAAAATTTAAAAACTAGTACTAAAACTAGAAATAATCAGCTGGATAGACTAGATAGATGGATATATAATCTTTTTTGTCAATATAAAAATTTTTTTTTTTTTTTTTAAATTGTTAACGTAACAAATTGACTGGAGCAAGCAGAAGACAATGGTCTTATCATCTTGCCCCGTTAATTTCAATTTATTTTACAATAAATATCAATTAAATATAAGATAAAAAGTTAAAAGATATTTAAATATATATAAATATAAAAACTCGTATAATTAAAACAGCCAAATAAATGTATCTTTATAAATATAAATACAATTAAGCTATTGTGGAAATAAAAAAAAATTTCTAGACGTATAAAAGTTTTTTTAAAAAAGAGATTGTTTTAGTAATGTTGAGGTCAAGTAACTGTTGTTTAACAACGCATTTAAAATTTTGAAAAGAGTTTTAATCTCATTTGTGAAAAATGAGTTCCACAATTGTGGTCCTCTTCTAGATATTGAGAATTTGGATTGTCTCAAAGATATTTTTAGAATATTGTAGTTCTGCTCAGAATATTTTGTTTCGTATTTATGATCAATAAGTTGGAAGCAATTATGGAATATTTTTTGGACCAAATTATTTTTTAACTTAAACATAAACTGAAGAATGCTATAGATGTTTTGTTCATAAATATTAAGAACTCTTAGTTCTTTCATTATTTGAAAGAACTGAGAGTTTTCTGACTTTGATGGTTTTTTGAAAAGAATGTATTTGCTTTTTTTCAATGTTCAAGGAAAGTTTGTTGGCCTTCAACCAATCGGTTAGCTCTTCAAGCTCCTGATTTACTGTGTTAAAAATAGTTTTAATATTTGAGTGGGTGAAGAAAGCTTGAGTGTCATCAGCAAAAAGAATAAAATTCAATATATACGAGAAGATAAAAATATGTCGTTAATATATACAAGAAAAAGCAAAAGACCTAGAATAGATCTAAGTTTTATTGTAACATAAAGCTTGTTTCCAATTGTTTAGATAGCAACTAAAGCATTTTAGGTTTTTTATTTTTTATACCATAAGTACTAAGTTTGCATAGAATGATTTCGTGATTCACTGTTTCAAACGCCTTGGACAAATCGATAAATACTCTAAGTGTATATTGATATTTGTCAAACCCATTCAAAATTTCGTTAACTAAATTTATTACTGCATGTTCAGTTGAATGGTCTTTTTTAAATCCGAATTGGTTATTAAAAAAAAGAAATTGTGATTTTGGAGGTAAGAAAATGTCTATTGTACATAATGCGCTCTAGTACTTTCGAGAAGCATGAAAGTATGGAGATAAGCCTATAGTTTGATATAGTAGAGTTATCTCCGCCTTTATATATCGGAACTACGGGTACTAATTTTAAGTGTTCAGGAAAAACTCCACTTTTTAATGAGATGTACAATAGGGGATATTCAATGACATCATAAATTTTTTTGAGCACCTGAGAGCTTATGTCATCAAGGCCCGGACTCGGACCGCTTGTACTTGTAATATTTTTTGCATTTTCGTTTTATAATGTATCTAGTTTCACAAAATACTTCATTTTATATTGGGTTCACATATAATAAAATGTAAAAATGAATAAATTGTTAAATGCTGTTTGTAGTACACATAATACATATAAATATATTATTAGGCATAAATATAACTATTATTGACTTATATTGATTTTTTATATTAATATATATATATATATATATATATATATATATATATATATATATATATATATATATATATATATATATATATATATATATATATATATATATTATTGAAGTTTTTTGGGATTTTGTTTTCAATTATAATTTTGGTTTTAGTTTCAGTTTTAGTTTAGTGTAAGTTCAAATAATTGTTGATATTAAAAACTAACTTTTTTAGTAAGATTTTCAAACAATTTATGTTATCTAATTTTGTAATTATGGCATTTTTGAATATCAGTTTATTATAGAGATAGGGACCGCGATATGAAATTGTGAAACGCGACAATTTTGTTTTTCTGAACGGTACATTAAAGTTGCCTACTTCTCTAGTGTCATATCTATTTTTATTGCTTTTAAAGAATTCATTTAAGAAATGTTGTGGGAAAAGCCCGAGTATGTTGTATTTTTGATTGTATTGTTTTAAATGCGTTTCGAAGCTCATCAGAAGATAAGTCAAACTCTTCCATTACAAAGCCCACTTCTTTTAAATATGATTTAAATATTTTTTTACTTTGAGTTATTTTATTAGCCAGTGTGTTTCCGATGTTGAGTTATTTTATTAGCCAGTGTGTTTCCGATGTTTGTAAAATATTTGTTAAAGCTTTCAGCATCTATTTTTGATCATTAATAACAATGTTTTTCTTAACAGTATTTAAATGGTTTGGCAGGATATTACCTGGATCAATCTTTTTCTTTCCTACAACTGCTTTTACAACATCCCAAGTCTTTTTATTATTATCAATATTATTTTGTAAAAGATTTGAATAATAATTTTATAATTTTCTGGGAATAGTACAATGAGTATTATTGGACTAAAAGACGGTTTCCTTAACTACTAATGTTATTACTTATAAAGATAAATTTCAATTGGATCTCAAATTCCAGTTTACAACTATGTCTAAATTACAGTTAAATAGTAGTTTTAAGCAAAATAGACATAAAAATCATGTTTTTTAATGAAATACGTATATATTTATGACATCAGTCATCAGAAGGTATATGTTGTAAATTGGAATTTTAGATATACACATTATGAACCCATGTGTGAGTTTTTAGATCATAAGATGCATCATGGATGGAGTCTATCCACGAAAAAAAAAAGGCGTTTAAAATAAATATATAAAAAGGCGTTTGTTCTCAAGAGAGTTGTTCTTGTAAAAGAAATTAAAAAAAAAAAAAAATTATTATGATTAAATATAGCAGTTGCGAAATAAGGATTGACTTAAAACCGACTAGAAGAAATAAAAGTTTCCATATCTGCCTGGATCCAGGAAGGGTCAGTGGTGTTAGAGCTTAGCCGTTCAATGTGATGAGCATTAAAGACATCAATAACAACATTATTAGCAAATGGGTAAAGAGAAAGGATATGGTCAGTTTGATCAGAAATTACATCTAAAAGAATGCGGTCCTAAGAAGTAAAAGATCGATAAAGAACAAAAAGAAAGGCGGTAGAATGAAGAAGTGCTAAGCGGAAGCACATAAAAGAATGGTCGAAGAATTCAAAACTGATTTCTCGACAAACAGGTGAACTGATACTCTCACAAATTGTCTGGTATATTTAGCAAGAGGTAAGATGAGACTGTTGGAAAGTTACTTTTAAAACCACGAATATTTGTGAAAAAAATATATTGAAACAGTTAGATGAATGTTTTTATGTTTAGTATTATTGGTTACTTTACTCTCGCGTGCTTAATACACGGGGGGTGGGATTTTTATTCTAGATCTAATAAACTGGCGGAGGTAAGGGGCGTAATATTAAAAGGGTGTGTGGGAATTTTTTACAGAACTTGAATAAAACAATTTAATTCTAGCGTGGCTTGTGGTCAAATGTGCATTTTTAAACAGTTGTTTCTTCATAATTTTCTAGCGTGGCTTGTGGTCAAATTTTCTTCATAATTTTCTATAGGATTTATATAAGTTTTATATTTTAGTGAGAAATAAACGAAAGCCTAACTTTTGACAAATCGAAACGATTATTAAAGCTTGATTTACACTGAAAGTTTTTATTCTATCAGTGAATAATATATATTTTTTCTGATTTTTTTTAGTTTTAAGATGCTACTTTTTTGTTCGTAACAAGTAAAAGGTAGCAGGATGATCGTGATAATCTTGAACCTAAAGTATTTAAAGTTACTTCATGTAAGCAGTACTTTATTGCATTGAACAAGATAGTTTACTTCCCTATTCTTTACGCAAGATAGTGTACGTTAATAACCAAAAAACATCAATATTAATATTTAGTTTTTAAGAGAGAATACTCCAAATAAAATCTTTAACAAATTTACATATTTTCCTAGAAATTCATATATTTTTTTCTTTTTACAAATTGAAACGTTTTTTAAAAATATATATTTAAAAACTTATATATATATAAAATATATTCAATATAAAATCTTGACTTAAAAAAAATGTTGCTTCAATATTATGTTCGTAAAGTATTTAACCTAAATATGAATGCTTATTTACATATAAGATAAATATGAAAGCTAGTTCACAGTAATAGTTGCAAGATAACGAAAAAAAGAAGCTATTTTGGCTGGAATTAGATTTGGTTGTGAAATAACTTAAATTAGGGTAGTCGTAAAATGCAGATATTTGTCAAAGCAACTGTCAAAGCAAAGATTTAAATTTTGTTTTTGAAAGAAAGAAATGATGGAAAAAATTCAATTACAGCAAAAAAAGCCTCAGTTAATCGAAGCAATATGAAAGCTTATGAAATAGAGAAGGTTTCGCAAAGAAAGTTATTGGGAAGATTTCGTGAAGTAATATGAAAGAGGTTTCAAAAATCTAAAGGAAATAGTAAGGCTATCAAAAATATAAAACTTAAACAGCGTTCGAGTTGATTTTATTGTACATAGAACTTTGAAAGAATTTAAAGTTCTACTTTTTTGTTTATTTCTGTTTTTTCAGCTTTTATCTTAAACAATCTAATTATTTGTGCAGCTCTTCCATCTTCAGATTTGTCTGTCGACAACGTAAACCATATGGGCAGAGCACAACGAACACCTTTTTTAACACCTAAAACTCCGTGCAAATTTTCTAATCCTTTGGAACGAAACGCAACAACACGCCCACATTTTGGACGAACTTGCGCCTACAAATAACAATATTTTAGATGCAAGGTGGTAAATGCAATTTGCAAATTAATTATCAGGTCATCTTCAATTACTATGATAGAATTCAAACACACACACACTTATTACATATATATATATATATATATATATATATATATATATATATATATATATATATATATATATATATATATATATATATATATATATATATATATATATATATATATATATATATATATATATATATATATATATATATATATATATATATATATATATATATATATATATATATATATATATATATATATATATATATATATATATATATATATATATATATACATCGGACACTAAACTTAAAAACTAACAAGTTTTATTACCTGTATTTTGTCTGTGGAATTTGCGAAAATAAATTCTCCTCCTTCAAAATCATCATTCAAATACAACAAGGCACTATAAACAAAGTTTATTTTACAGAACAAACTAAATTAAAAATGGTACTTAAATATTTTCTGGAAATTAATAAATTCTTTTAGCATCCAAGTCGTGGTGGGTGGGTTGTTTTTAAAAAATGTAAATAAATAGATATGTAAATAAATAGATATATATAAAATTAACAACATAATTTATTTTCAATAATTCTTTACATTGAATGGAAGTCAGAACAGTATTTCGGAACGGAGGGAGTATTTTTGCATTCATTTTCATGTGGTATATTTTTGATAGACAATTTTTGCAACCAGGGGTCAATGTTATAAAACTTTTTATCGGCGTAAAATGCTACCGGCTGTAAATTTTATCGGCGTAAATGATTTGTTTCAATGTTATAAAAATTTTTTCAAAATTACCGTCGATAAATTTCTACAGCCGAAAGGTTTACAGGCGATAAATGTTCCGGAGGAGCGACCTACGGAAATTTTTGTTGAAGATCCAGAGATATGAATATTTAGTTAAAGAAACCTCTGGTTTAGAACCTTTCAAAGTACTTACCTTGAATTGAAAACTTATCAAAAATTCATTCATTTTAATTAAGTGCACATTTCTTGGTAAATTTTAATTTCAAGCGATTTCTTTGTTAATTATATTTTTACTGAATTTGTCATGTAAGAAATGTAAGTCATTCTCAAAATTTAAAACTGCTCTCATTAACTACTTTTTAGAAAAACATTGCTTATAAACTTTATACTTTCATTCAAATTATTATTTATAACCCTAATTCTGAGCTTTTGTTTATCTAATTTTTTTCTTTTCTGTTGTGATTTAATATTTTTTGTTAAACTCATTAAATTTAACAAAAAATATTAAAACATAACAGAAAAGAGAAAAAAAAAATTAGATAGATAGAAGCTGAGAGTTAGAGTTATAAATAATAAGTTGAAGAAAAGTATAGTATTTATAAGCAATATTTTTCTAAAAAAAAGTTAAAGTTATAAAGTATAAATAACCAGTTATTTATTATTTAATCTTTCTTAAACTCAAGTATTTTCTCTTCATCACTATAATTGTTAATATTATTATTACTATACTTTTATCATTATAAATATAATTAATTTTATTGTTGTTAATATTGTCATAATTTTTTTATATATTACTGTTTTTATTATATTACTGTTGTCATTATTTTTATTATTGTTGTTGTTATTTTTGTTATTATTATTGTTAAAATAGTATGGTGTATACTTTTTATAATCTTTACTGATACTTTTAATCGCTGTTATTACAACTATTATTTTTATTTACTCCTACTTGCATTATAATTATTACTAATAATACTTTACTTAATAATAAAATGATGCTAATAATATTAGCATCATTTTATTAGTATTGAATTTTACAGGTGTTTATTTCATATTACTATTTGTAAATAACTTTATTCAGAATATATTTAATTTGATTTATTTTGATCACTGAAACTTTGAAAGTTATTGAAAAGCAATGAGGCAAAAGCAATTTTATACATTTATATATATATATACATTTATATATATATATATATATATATATATATATATATATATATATATATATATATATATATATATATATATATATATATATATATATATATATATGAAGAGAGAAAAATATATGCAGAGATAGTGCTCAATGTTCTTAAAGACTATATAATTTAATAACAATATAACAATAATAAATTAGTAAAAACACTAATCTAATTTTATCTTCGAGAACTTGTTTCTCCATCAGTAGGTTTATCAGGAAGCCTGATCAACTATTGAACCTACTGATAAACCTTCCTTATGAACCTACTGATGGAGAAACACGTTGTTAAAGAATAAAACTAGATAAATATTTTTACTTATCTAGTTTTATTCTTCATATATATATATATATATATATATATATATATATATATATATATATATATATATATATATATATATATATATATATATATATATATATATACATATATATATATATATATATACTATATATATATATATATATATATATATATATATATATATATATATATATATATATATATATATATATATATATATATATATATATATATATATATACACACACACATATATGTATATAGGTTTTCATGAATGAAAGTTAATAAACAAATTTAACTTTTTAGAATAATTTTACAAATTTTCTTTTAGACATTGGAGCCTGAAAGAAAACCATCAGGAATTTAAAGTGTTTAAAAATTTCCAAAGTTTGTTATTGAGCTAATTAGAAAAATACACTTATGCTAGGTTTACTAGGACTATTTATTAATCCAAAAATCAGATCAATTTTTGTTTTAGACAAACTCAAAATGGACAGACAAAAGAAATTTCTCCATTTAAAATTTATGCAGAGGTTATTTGAAATTCGAAATAGTAAAACAAGTGGTCAAACTATAAACAGAATTATTAAAGTTCTAGAAATTACCTTAGTTGCTCAAATATGGTACGAGCTCAAATATTTTTGATAAAATCAGATAAGAAAATACATCAATGATTTTTCTTCTAATTCAGAAAGTTTTTAGACATTATGTACAACTTGTTTCCAAAGTTTCTCAGATTGTGTATGGTATGGAATCACATCAAAACTTATTGTGGATAAAATTCTTATCAGAAAGAATAAAAAAAGTTTTATATTTAAATGTTTATTTGTGTCTAAATAAATTTTTGTTAAAAGAATTTGAGTTTGTGAATAATTCTTTTAATTATTTAATATTTAAAGTCAATTTTTTTTAAAGTTTATTTATGCAATTTCTCTTATTTTTTCTGTTTGTATAGATTTTCTATGTGTATAGATTGTATAATATGTGTTTCTATGTGTATATATTGTATAATAAAAAATGTGTATAGATTTTCTATATTTATATCAACACAATTTTACAAAATAAAGAAAGATTAATTACCTAATTAATTACGTAAAAAAAAGAATAAAAACTTTTAATTCTTTAATTATGTATTTTATTATAAAGACTAAGACCAAAACAATCAAGGTCAAGGCCAAAAACTTCAAGGCCGAGGCCAAAAGTTTCAAGGCCAAGGCTTTGGTTTTTGGTCTTAAGGCAAGGTCAAGGCCAAGAACTAACAACTCTGGTCTAAAGAAACCTATATGGAAAATAGTATAAATTATTTTTACAGAAAAGCTATACAAATTTTGTTATAGGGTAGAGTAAAAAATTAATGACAATTCCTTTTTTTTACTTTTAAATTTTATTCTTAAAAGTTTAAATACTGTTTGAACAGTTTTACTATTCGTGGTTGTCTCTGATTTGCCAAATATTCAAGAGCAACAAAATATTCTTCATCAGAATCAGAACAGTCTAAGTCCGAATCCATAAGAAAATGTTAATTTTTGTTAACTTTGATGTTTTCAACTCAAAAACATTTTGTTTTTGATAACCTTTTAAGTTATTGATTCAGACAGTAGATTTCCGAAAATAGATTCAGAGCATAGATAGTTTTATAACATAGAATGAAAAAACATTTTACGTCTCTAAATTTACGGCTGTAAAAATTCCTGAGTAAAATATATGAGAATGAATTTTAGGCCGATAAAAAGTTTTATAACATTGACCCCAGAGCAAAAATCAAGTTTGATTATTAAAAATAATCTCAAAATTTGTGACAAAAAAATAAATTTTATGAAAGTCTTTTAATTAGTTTTTATTGAATGACAAGTAGTTTTTATTGCCTTTGAATCGATTGATTTAAATTTGCTAATATATACACAATCATACAGTCACAAAAGGGATCAATCAAAGCGAAATGTCTTAAAGTAACTCTATTTTGATGTTAGCCAAAATCAGATAACAAGTAACAGTTTTAGAATTTTACATAATCACATAGCTATAAGTGTAAAATTATAAACAATTACTCACCAAAATCATGATAAATTTATTATTAACCTATATTATTATTATCGTTATTAGAACAAAAACTAAAAAATTTATAAGATGCTTTAAGATATGATCCCTTATTTAAAAGAATCAAAGAAAATGACAAAAATTTAAGACAATTTCAGAAAAATTAAGAGTTTCAGTAAAATATTTATGACAAAAGTTAATCTACTTAGCCCCATAGAAGTTTCATAAGAATGGAAGACTGGAAGGAAGCATACAATCTGGCACTAGGGGAACTTCTAAAAAAGTCTCTGCTTAATACCTTAAATGTAAATAATGTTGCTTTGTCATCATTAAGATTTGGTAAAGTAACAGTAATGGCATCAATAGAGCAATGGCATTGACAGAGCAATGGCATCAATGGAGCAGTGGCATTAACGGAGTAATAGCATCAGCAGAGCAAGGGCATCAACAGAGCAATCAAAAGCATCAACAGCATTGATAGGCACTGCAACATTAAAAGCAGCCAAAAATGCAGATTTTTTGAAAGTAGGTTTTTAATCCTGATATAAGCCATGCTCTAGATCATTGAAAAATTAAGACCATAGCAATCAAAACCTGTAAAGCAAAAAGTAGTAATAAAATTAAGAAAGAGAATACACTATGTATAATAATTAATGGTAGAAAGAACCTTATAAAAAGGAAGAAAAAAAGAAGATCATTATCATGCCTGTTCTGAGTCTGCTGTCAAGCATTTATTTTAATTTGTAAATAATTCAGATTAAAGGGAACATAGTACATATCACTGAATAACAGAACATTAGATTGAAATCCAATTATTTACAATTGATGAAGTTCAAATAAACAAAGGTTTTTGTTATTAGCTTTGGGTGAAAATGTTTATTTGGCAACAGATTATTAAGAAACATTGAAAAACCTATTAGCAAAGCAACAATTCTACCTATTGCAAGGTACCTCCGCCTAATATTGTTGTAGAGCGAATTCATCTTGTGAGGGAGGTTATTGATTCATTGTTACAAATTAATAGTATTTGTTCAAAATAGATAATACAGCATCAGCTCTTTCTCCAGATTGTTTAAAGGAAATTCAAATGGTCCACATAGTAATGCCTGGTTACACGATACATACATGGTTATGGTTGCAAATAGGTAACTTTAAATCAGGCCTCTGAGCGTAGATTAGAACTAATGAACTTTTTTAGAACGCAACTTGAATTTGCTGTCAGAGTTCATCATGGGAGTTTAGTATATAAGTTGCTTAAAAAAGGTTCTTATTTAATACTTAAATTTGTAAATAAATACAGTATACAGAGTTAAATATATATATATATATATATATATATATATATATATATATATATATATATATATATATATATATATATATATATATATATATATATATATATATATATATAACTATATATAACTATATATAACTATATATATATATATATATATATATATATATATATATATATATATATATATATATATATATATATATATATATATATATATATATATATAAAATATATATATATATATATATATATATATATATATATATATATATATATATATATATATATATATATATATATATATATATATAGTTATATATATATAGTTATATATATATAGTTATATATATATAGTTATATATATATATATATATATATATATATATATATATATATATATATATTTATATGTATATATAAATATATATATATATATATATATATATATATATATATATATATATATATATATATATATATATATATATATATATATATAGTTATATATATATAGTTATATATATATATATATATATATTATAGTGGCCATTGAATTAAGGCACCTTACGGTTTTTGGATAAATTTAGTATAACTTTGAATGTGCCTCTAAAATATGCAAAGTATTATATGTCATTGTCATTAAATGAATGAAATTAAAATTTTTCGCATATCTTTGCTTAAAAGACGCCATCAAAGCTTATTAAAGTTCTTTTTTTAAAGTAAATAGTAAATATATTAAATAAAGTAAATATGGGTAAAAAGGCAGATTTGAGTGATTTTGTTAAAGGTCAAGTCATAACTTTGTATGGTGAAGGGTACTCACAAGTTGTCATTAGTAAACGTCTAGGAATATCGAGATGCGCTGTACAAAACCTTATAAAATTGCATGGGAGTTCTAGACATCAAAATTGCCACAGCGTTTGCAAAACTACACCCCATGAAAAGTATTGTGCAAGCCAGTCCTCACACTTCCTCTGACCGAGTTACCGAATGGCCACGGAAAGAGGCATTAAAATTAGTGCCAGAAGTGTTCGCAGACGTCTGTCTACAGAATTTAAACTGCATGGGTGTAGACCAGCAAAGAAGCCATTTCTCACCAAGAAGTAGATTCAAGCACGTGAAATTCTGTCTTGATATGAAGGACAAAACTGCTGAGTGGTGGACTACTGTGATGTTTAATGACGAAAGTACTTTCCAGCAGCTTCGTGGTTAAGAGTACAATTATATTCGTCGACCGGTAGGTGTAAGACTCAATCCTAAATACACTCTGAAGACCGTTAAACATCCGCCATCTGTTATGGTGTGGGGAGCTATCTCAGCTAAGGGTAGATGCGGAATCTACATCTTCGGTAAGTGCGAAAAGGTCAATGCTGCAAAGTATATACAGGTTTTAGAGTTAAAGGTTAAGACACATGAACATTTCTGAAACTACCATCTTTCAACAAGGCTCAGCACCTTGTCATACTACGAAACCAGTCAAGAAGTGGTTTCATGAAAACGATGTGCAACTTTTGAAGAACTGGCCCTCAAATTAGCCTGATTTGAACGTTATTGAAAACTGTTAGAACTTAATGAAAGTTAAAGTGTCAGAACATCGTCCAATGTCAGAGGAACATTTAAAAGATGTATTGAAGCAGGTGTGGGTAAATGAAATTACCCCAGAGTACTGTGACAAGCTTGTAAAAGGTATGCCTTCTTGTATACAGGCTGTATTGAAAAATCGTGGTTATTCTACGAAATACTAAGATTTTGAGACTTTTTGTTGATGAATTTTAAAAGTAATGCTGCTAGATATGTTTTAGAACATTTTATAATACTAATAGTACATATAATACGATTTCATGAAAGAGAAACTGGACTTGCTTAATTAAAACTGCAATTCTGCTAGGTGCCTTAATTCAATGGCAACTACTGTATATATAAATTCATAATTAAAAAAAAAGACTTTTCTGAAGAAAATGAATTAAACACAAAAATATTTTGATAAACCTAAATAAATCCAAATGCTTTTTTAACTTTTAAATTCAGCTTGTTAGGCTTCTATTTTTTATTTTTATCTATTATTCTAATAAAATGTTGTTACTTACTCTATGTGGTTAGGCTAAAATCTCTATGTATTTAGGCTAATACCTTTATGTTGTTTTTTTATTTGTGTGTGATTCATTCACTGCATTCATTCTGGTTGATGCATATTATTTTCATTTTCATCAAATTTTTTGTTTTTTATTTCCAGAGTTCTTTTTTTCGTATTGCATTTAGCAATAAAGATTGCTAAATGCAAAATGGAAAAAGAAATCAAAAATAATAAAGTTATGCAAGAAAAATTTGTTATTCTGGTGAAGTTTCACTAATTGAATTAATCAGCTCAACTAATTTAATTAAAGAACACATTTTATGACCAAAACATAAATTACTATAAACATAAAAAAATTTAAGAACTGTAAAATAGTACTATTTAAATATTCACATTTTCTAACTGGTTTAGATCCATTGCTTATTTTTTTTTCAATAGCAGCAATGATTATCTCAATATTTCAATAATATTTACAAAAGCCACCATATTTGATGGAGAAATTACACTGATCAATTCAAGTAATTATATTTATTATTTTAAATGGAATATGTGTGTTCCTTAAAAGTTATTTTTTAAAGATTAAAACCGAATATTAAAATAATACTATACTGTTTAGATTAATTTAAAAAATTGAAAAGAAAAAAATTATAACAAAAAAGTATTTTGAAAACATTGACAAGTGAAATTTCTGTTATTCTATAAAATTGCACAAAATAATGCAATACCTAAAATTTTGAATCCCAAAATTAATGAAACCCTATCAACCTCTAAAATATACTTAAATTTTAAAATAAGTTTTATATATTTGTAATTTTTTTTTAATTTGTAAATATACCTATAGTCTCGCCATGTAAAAGCTGGACTACGTTTTGGACAAGTGCCATTGCCATCACCATTAAGTATACAATTATCAGAATGAATAGGATGACTTATATGCTCTTCTCCTGGTGTTATTGCTAAATGTTAACTATTGTTAAAATAAGTAAATAAAAACTCAAACATTATTTATATAATGATTTGAGAAAAAATTAAAGAATACCATCTTCAAGAGCATATCTGCAAACTAGATGTGTAAATGCAAAGTTCAACCGCACCTTCATATCAAAGTACTCTTGGGTAAGCAAGCGAAGTCGCTCGCTAACATTAATGTAAAGTTCTGCTTCCTCTACAGAAGCTTTACCAGCAACAACAGCCTAATTAAAAAATAGAAAAATTACCAGCAACAACAGCCTAATTAAAAAACAGAAAAAATGCTTATATATCAAAATTTGAAATTATGAATTTAACATTTTTATTAATTAAAATTTCCCCCATAAAGGAAGCAAAGGTAAGATTAAGAATTACCATTGAAACAATTTAGGAAATAATTGATGACTTATATAAAATTGATTATTGTATACAAACAACAGTTGATAAAAATTACCAGATAATGATAAGCAAACACAATGAGCAACAAAAAAATATATTTTTGGTCAGGTGCCTGGAATATTTCAACAATTTTTAAATGATTGGATACAAACCTATTAACTCGAATAACTTAAAAACTTCTGATTGATTAAAATTTTATTTTCAGTTCAGAATTCCTATTTAATATAAGAATGATACTTTTTTTCTAGACACCAAAAACCTTGTTTGCCAGTGTATTAGAAGAAAAATGGATAACAAAATATATTAAAAAAAATAAATAAAAAAAAATTAAATAAATCAAGAAAAAGCAATAACAAAAAGATGTTAAAAAGAGCTTAAACCACAGAAAGAAAATAAGTGAATAAAAATGTTTGCAAAAACAACAACAGTAACCATAGAAGCAATGATGCTACTAAATCACAATATACAAAAATATTAGGTCCAATGATTATCAATAACATAAGCTTTTCTATGGCAAAAGTGTATAAAATGAAAAAAAAGTTATTCATAAATAAGAAATATGTACTCATAATTAAGCTGATGACAATAAAAAGAATAAAGAGAATAAGCTAAATAAAAAGATTTTCAGTTAGCAGTCTCTAGAGAACTTTAGTTACCAGTCTCCAGAGATCAAAGTAGCTAAGTTATATTTGAGATTTACATCACCAGCAAATGTAAGCCACAAGCTTCAAGATTGTTGAATTTTGTCAAAATGATTTTTTGTGTTAAAAAATTTTTTTATTTGAATATAAAGTTGTTTATAATGTTGTAACTTTGGCTACCAGAGAAATTAACAATGAAAATAAAAAAGTAGTTTAGTTTGAGAAAAAATAAAATTATTTTAAATAGTTAAAATTACTTTACATGAACAAATAAAATATGAAACAAATATTTATAAAAAGCAATTAAAATAATACACTCAAGGTTAAAAGATTGTAAAAATGCCATTTTATTTTTAAGAAAGGCTTTAATAAAAACAAAGTGTTATGTCTATAACCTTAAAATATTTTAAGAAAAACAAAATGATAAGTCTATAATGAATCTTTACAACTACTTTAATTAAGTCAAATAAAAAAGGTCTAATATGTAAATAAAATACTAACATCAACAGCACCAGATAGAGTTACTCCTTTGAAAACTTCTTTTTCAGTAAAAGGCCTGGCAGGATCTTGATGACTATGTCGATAACCATCACCTGTTACTGAAATTTTCTAAAGATTATTGCAAGATGATACATATTATGGAACTAATTTTAAAACCTTTAGCAAGAATCTAAAAATTACTATAAGCATATTATTCATGTGATCATAAAATTGGACATTTTAAAAGATACTTTAAATAAAATTTTTTACTTCAGCATCAAAATCTATTTTCTTGTAAGCGTACATCCATAAAACATATACGCAGTAAAACAGCTAATGAGAAAAGGGAGGACCCTTCCTCCCTCTCCTTGAAAGCACTTGTATGGTTTTCAACTACCTCCTCCCCCCCTGCAAACATGCATTATTTATTATAAAATCAAGAATGTACAACCCCCTTTCATTAACACAAATTTTTGAAAAATGTTATATAACATAATATTGACTTTTTAAACTTGTGAAACTCATACTTTTTTAAAAAAAAAAATCAGTTTTAGGAGAGAACTGGGTACATACTGGCTAACCTTATCCCCCCCCTTCCTCCCTCTAATTTGTACATTTTTGGATTACATCCTCCCCTCATACCTGCACACATACTTTATAGAAAATCCCTTGGAGAAATAATATATAAGAAAACTAAATAATTTCTACACGGCACTCAGATCTTGCTTTATGAAAAAAATATATACACATTTATATATAAATTTAATGTTTACATTATGACAACCTTTTTAATAATAATTTTAGGTTAATATTTTAAAAGGTTTTATTAAAATTTAAAATTTTTTAAAATAAACTAGTAAAATAAAAGTTAAATATATTATTATTATAATCATAAGCTTAATACAATTTACCATAATTTATTATAAAATTACAATAAATTTATTATACTAATTTATTAGAGTTTATTATAAAATTGCTAATAATTTATTTAAAAACAATAAGTTTATTACAATTTATTTTAAATTATATTTTTAAAATCAGGCATTATTAAATTTAAGCTTTAAGTTACCATATCTTCATATTGACTCTTTCTCTTCTCTATTATTTTTAAATTTACATCTTTGTTTAAAGTCTAAAAATCCAAAAAAAAAACAACAACAACAGTCTATTAACCATTGAAATAATTTAAAATATAATTTAATTCTTTTAATCTTTTAGCAATTTAAATTTAATGTAGTCAACATGTGACATACAACATTTAAAATGAAATTTTCAGGCTATAATAAATAATAACGACAAAAAATATGACTCTAGAAATATGAAAATAGAAAAAAAAGGAGAGGTTGGTGCTGCTGTTATTTAAACAATTGCTTGCAACTGCTTAAAAAACATTTAAAATTTACAAAATTTAACAAATTTAAAAAAATATTCAATAAAAAAGAAATTTAAAAGCAAAAATTTAAAAACTTAGTTACTTTTAAATTTTTGCTTATAAACATCCGCTCCTTCACCCCTGCCTTCCAAAAAAAAGAAACTCAAACTTGGTAACTTAGTTGGTAACTAAGTTACCAAGGTTTGTAGTTATAAGGCTGTGTGCACCAAACCAGTTAAAAATTAGTGTTGTTTATGAAATAAAAGATCATGTGAAAAAATTAATACATTTAAAAACAGACCTTCAGTTCCAGTCTCCAGAGACTTCAGTTACCAGTCTCCAGAGACTTCAGTTCCAGTCTCCAGAGACTTAAATTAGCTAAAAACTTTTTTTATGCTTATACTTTGTTGTTATAAAAAGTTTTTTTTTGTTTTTTTTTCAACGAACCTTGTGTCAAATATTGTTGCGTTGTCAACTTACATGACAACAATAACTGACAAAATGGAATACTTGCTAAGTGATAAAAAAAGGAATTTTTAAATTAAAAAAATATTATTTAAAACTAAAACAATCAAAACCTTTTTTTATAAAAAAAGTTCACTAGATTCTGAATTTTATTGTCAGAATAAAATTCTTGTAGTACTCACCTTAGCAAGATCCATGAGTTGATTGCATTCTTCTTCTGAAGTAACATGATCAAATACTACACGTTCTAAACCTGTTCCATTCAAGCTCACTTCATCAAGGTGTAACTTCGAATTCTAGATAAAAAAATTTAATTTTAACTTAAAAGCAAGACAAAAAAATTTTCACAGACTTTGAACAAAATTTGAACTTTTTAACTCTCATGAGAGTTACAAAGTTCAAGGTTAACACTTTACCAAAGGCTTACCACTACACCACTTTTGTATTAAAACACAATAAAACATAAACACAAACAAAACAGTTATTATCATTTTTTTGATTCAAACAAGATTTTAGTTCAAATAAAATTCAGTTAATACTAAATATAATATAATAAATCTAATATAGCATAAATAATGCATAATTTATAAAAAATACACTTCATACATTATATTTGAGGTATTTTGTTTTTGATTTAGAAAATAAAAACTACTTAAAAAAGAAATCGAAAAAAAAAGGTAAACAAATTGTTAAAATTTACAATTTTAAATAAAAAATTTTAAAATACATTTATTGCTTGATTGTTTTTCCAGCGAGCTCGATTTCGATATTTTACAGGTGAAACATCTTCATTTGGCAAATCATCTCCTTTTTTAGATTTCATAAAACCTGCTTCAACTTCTTTATAGACAGAATCTAAATTCTACAAATTGATAAATATTTTATGAGTAAAGAAACTTCTTGGTTTTCATTAAAGTATTTCTTTAATTTTGACTAATGGTAATTGGTCAAACGCTTTTTGGCAATTGGTCATTAGTCAAATAAGTAATGTTTTTTGACAATTGTTTACAAAAAAATTTATAATTATAAGTTCATTTTGTTGCTTTTAAACTATGCAACAATATAAAAACAAATGAAAAAATATTTTCAACATCACTCGAATAGTTTAAAAATGGTATAATGATTTAAAAAATCCTTTTAAGTTCATGGAAGACATTTTTTTGCAAAACTCTAATAATAAAACTGAAACTAATTGTAAATATTTATAAAAGAAAATCAACTACTTTAGATTGCTTCAATGAAGCTTTATTAGAATTTTTTCTAATTTATAATAAATAATTCATATAATAACTAATAAAAATTTTAGAGCAACTAGTAGACAACTTAGTTACTAACCTCTTCTTCTAATTTTGCTTGTTGCTCTTCAGCATCTGTCATCATAGGCAGAGCATAACCTTTTGATATAACTGCTAAACTAACTTCCATAGTGTATTGTCTTAAGTACCTCATTGCCCTCTAAAGAGTAGAAACATTTAAAAAATTTATTTTTATTTAAATTTATTATCTTTTTCATTTTAAATTGCTTTAAAGCGTTATAAAAGACATAAAAGTTATAAAGACTTTAAAGTGTTGATTAAAAACTTGTGCAAAAAACAAAAACAATTTTTATCAAAAACTTTAATTATTAGTTATGATATAACTAATTACAATTACTTGAACATTTAGCAAAAAAACAGGATAAACTTATTGTTTGGGGAAAAAAAAAACTAATTTCTTTCTTTTTAAACATTTGTATAAATGAATTAAAATATATTGATTTTTTTTTAGTAAAAAATAAAAATAAAAATAAAAAAGAGGAAGGTAACCCAAAAAAGAATTGAAAATAAAAAATAAACTAACTTTTTTAAACAAAAAATAAAATTGAATTATTGAACAATATCTAGTAATATTTTAGAATTGAAATAAAAATAAAATTCCCTTTGTTTTTATATATGTAAATTTATTTCATTTTTAAATATATCAAATTATTTCATTTTTAAATATATCTATTTATATATATATATATATATATATATATATATATATATATATATATATATATATATATATATATATATATATATATATATATATATATATATATATATATATATATATATATCAAAGGTAACTAATATTCAAACTTTTGTAACAAACTTTTTTACATCAATACCAAGAAGTTTTACTATTGGAGTCGGAGTCTGGATTTTGCTTAGCGACTCCAACTCTAACAAAAATTTTGCAACTCTTACTCCACAACTCCGACTACAGAGCCCTGATTTCTATAGAAGAAACTAAGAGCATTCCCAAAGATATCTGTTTATTTGCATTGAATGTTTTAAATGCAGCAACAAAGATACCATTTTAAAATCCAATTTTGACAATTACAATCAACTCTTTAAAAAAGAAAACATTACTTAAAATATATTTGCAATAGTTTAAATGAACTTGCTCTATACTTAGGTGACTATTGGTGCTAAGTTTAACCAGTTAGAAGCTTTCAAAGAATAAGAGTTTCTTTAACTAAGGACAGGTAATTAAATGATGTAAATTAAATGCCAACAGTTTATTGGTGATTCAAAAACGTGTAAAAAGAGGAGTGCAACACCTTGATTGGCAAAATATTATAAACTCTGGTTTCATCAGAAAGATCTAACATAGGATTTACATAGGATTTAACCCTTGTTGAATTTATTAGAGAGATTTTTAATTTCTTCAAATAAATACAAAAGTAAAGTACAGTAAAAGTAAATCACAGCAGGTAGATTAAAGTAAATTAAAATCTTTAATTAAAACAAAAAAATTACAGAAAAAGGATAAAAATTGTAGTGTTCCTACTTTTTCAGAATTGACACTATTTGTAACAGTTTATTTAAAAGTGATTTCGAGTCTTCATCATGAAAACAGAGTAAACAAATAATTTTTAAGTTTTAAGAACTATATTGAAAACACTAAAATGATAATAAATTTCTACCATATTTCTTTTTAGCGCATCTTTGTATAGTAGTAACTTTTAAGTGCATTTTTGTGTAGTAATAATAATAATATATAATATTAGTAAACAAAGAAACTGTCAAAAAATCTATAAATCTTTTAGATTCATATTTCTCTAGAAAATTTTATCTCTCTTCACAGAGCTGTTTAATTTCAATGTTTAAAAATTCAATTAAATATAATTTTCAAATCTAAGTTTTAATTAATATTTATTAAAATATCTAATCCATTTTTAGTTAAATTTAATGTTAAACTTTGATAAACACAATAGAATCAGAAAGTTTCAGAAGGAGAAACTGCTCAGGGTTATACTGATCATCATCAAAAATAAAGTCAAAATTAACATAATTTAAAAAAGAAAATTTTATCATACTTAAGCAAACAAAATTTTATCATACTTAAGCACTTTTTAAATCATAACTTTAAAAATAAATATCTAGATTATAAATCACAATTCAATCACAATATAAATTCGTATAGGTTTTAACTCACAACTTTAGAAAGGAAAAGTTTTTAAAAACATAATAGGTTTATAATTATGAAGGTTAAAAAAAAATTTTAATATAAAGTTATTAACAAATAAAATATGAAGAAAAAATTTTTATTAGCGAAATATGAAGAAAAAAATTATATTATCTGTTTTGTACAAAGAAAAATTAAGTTTACAACAACAGCTTAGATGAGTTTTCTCAGAAGCAATTTCCAGCAATAAACACTTTTCTTAATTAACATAAAATTACCTTTCTTGGAACAAGCTTTTTCCCTTTTAAAGCTGGCTGCTTTACATAAAAGTTCATATTTGACATCATTATAGGATCGTCAGGCATAAATTCTAAATATGTTTTAGCATTTGTTGCAGCTTTGATCATCTCACCAACTAAATATATTTAAAACTAGTTTTCAATAAAAATCAGTATAATGGTATGATCAAGTCTTAACCGTTTTTGTTTTTTTTAATTATGCTAAAATTATAAACTATTAATTATACAAAAATTATATTATTTATGCAAAAATGATAATAATAATAATTCAAATTAAAAAAAAAAAAGTTTTAAAAACTACATAAAAATTCATAAAAATTTATTTTCATATAAAGTATATTTTAAATATTTTTATAAATTTTTAAACCTAAAAACAATAAGCATTATTTTTATTGTACAATTAGTTATACAATAGTAATATTGTCTACCTTTAAAATAACAATATTGCAGATAATGAAGATAGTATGGTACAAAAGTACTCAAGTATTGCTTTCCATCCATGGTAGTCATTTTCTTTCGGCAATTATGTCTACAACTAAGAATTGACTTGAAATGACTGAACAATGTGGATGTAAAAGAAATATGCTTATCTTCACTTTGATATTCACAAAGTGATTGACATTTTTGTAACTGTTTGAAAAATAAATTCATTGACTCTTCAAAATCAGTAATACACCTCTCCATATTACCAGAACTATAAAAAGCTTCTGCAGATTTGTATAAAGTTATATGTGGCAACTCTTCTTGTGATCGAAGAGTGGAGTTGTCTTTGCCAATTTTTTTTAGTAATATTTCTATATTTTCCTGCATTAGAGTATGATTTGGGTTAACTTCAAGATACGTAAATGCGGCATTGGCTGCTTTTTCGATTTCTCCTATCTAAAATATAATAAAAAATTAATATCTAAAAAATATTTTAAATAATGAAGCTTTAAAAATTTTGAAATTTTTCCTATATTTACTGTTATTATTAACATTACTAAAGTTGAAACATTTTTATATTTAATAATATTTATTATAATACAAAATCTTTCTTAATTCATTTTTAAATAGTATTTGCAGTGTAGCATGGGGCTCCATCTCACATAAATATTTTACGCTTATTTGGAGACCATTCCTTCAATTAAACTAAAAGACAAGTTTTAATAACTTTTTTGTATTGGACCTGTTTTAATATTCTATCCACATTGTACAGTTGATAAAGCCTTTCCTACTGAAAATCAACTAAAACATAATTGTCTAAATTTTTTTTAGTAGCCTTCCATGTCTTTCATTTCTCACATAAAAATCATTATTTCTGAACAGTTGAAACCAAATTTTGCAAATTGCTTCTGATTGAGCATGATCACCATATGTCTCAACAAGCTCTCGATGCAACTCTGCAGCACTTTTCTTCAAATGAAAACAAAAAATAAATGCTTTCCGCAAATAATCACTTTCTGTTAAAAAATTTGACATCTTTAACATGATATAAAAATAAGATATTGTTTGTTCCATGACCATTTTTATTGTTTTGTATCGGCCATTTTTTTGCAGTACTTGGCACTGGGTATCTTAACAGAAATTTTTAAGAAACATTTACCTTAAATGCTGTAACTATATGCTTAAGTGGTACTTTGAATTGTGTCAAAATATCATTAACAGGATTGCTTTTAGTTTTATCTTCAACCAAACTTCTTGATATAAGTCTAAGAGTGTTATGGAGTCAATAACCACAAAGCCCAATTTACTCAATATAGACGTGTCTCACTTAAAATATTTTTTTTCATTTTATTCACACTACAGTCAATAAGGTCTACTCCTTTATTTATTTTTTTTCCTTTTGCAATTCTCTCTCTCTCTCTCTTAATCTTTTATTTTCCGTAATATAACTTTCAATAAATTAGCTCATATAAGCGATTATTTAGCAATAAATTACAAAAAAATATAAATTATATATTATAATTATAAAAAGAAAATTAGTCAGCCAGAACTGTATTTTTTGAAGTTGATAGATTCAATTTTAACTATTAATTATTATTAGTTATGGATCGTCCATAAAGTATGCTCGGATGCGGGAGAGGGGTCTGCAAATGACATTGTTTGAGATTTCTCAAGCTTTTATTGTATTTTTTAATATAAAATCAGTGCCAGGTACCCGGACTCGGACCCGGTTTTTTCTTCCAGGTACCCGAAGTTGGGGACTCTGCATAAACTGGTTTTGCCACATCTCTAGTCTATGATAATGAAAAAGTATTTAATTCTAAATTTGTAACTACCATTTAAAACCACTTCACTCTCTATTCTCACCAACTCCTACTAAAAAAATTTGTGGTTCTAAATTTCTGTATTTTAATACTTGTACTGCTTAAGAATAATGATAAATAGCTAAGAACAGCTTTAGTTTTAGAATTTTGTTTTTTATTTTAGATTTTGTTTTTATATTTTGAATTTTAGTTTTTGATTAATGCTTTATTATGTTCTTTACTTTTTAAATTTAAGTAACATAGGGTCAACCGGGGAAAAATGGGTAGCTGGGGTAAAATGGGTAGAGCGGTATATTAAATTGATTACAAACGCACTATTAATGTATTGAAATAAGTTTTAGTTTTTTATGATAGCGAAATAATTTTTATTAAAAAAATTATAATTGGGAATTTTTGTTACTGCGCTGCTTCTCTACAGGGTGTGCCGCCATTTTGGTTTTGGTTTCCATGTGCTTTCACCAACAGGTAAAACTTTGTTGTAAAAAATGATGCATTTAACACACACAGTCAAAAGTTATAGATTTATAAGCAGGAGAAGTTCCTCTTTTTAGGTAATAGTAACAGGAATGTGAAAAACCAAACATTTTTAAATAATATTTGAAAAACCAGAATGGGGGAAAATGGGTATAACAAATACTAAGATAAGCTAATGCCACAGTCACAGTGATATCTAGCAGCATTTATTATTATGTAATATGAATTAAATGTAGAAGTGATATACATTAATTCATTTGTTCTGTTTTGTTCTTTGCCTTCAACAGTTGCTGATTTGATTTAAAATGCAGAGGAATTGTATTGGCAAAATACAACCCAACTATTCAAAGGAGGACTTGGAAAATGTAAGACTTATCATTAAACAAAGAAGTTCAGTTTACAAAGTTTCAAGGGGAAAGAAAATTCCATATGAAACTTTAAGGAGATGGGTAGTTTAAACTCCAAAGGGAGTTAGTTCTGGACGACTCCTCGTTCTTACTGCTGATGAGAAACGCTTAATTGTTCGCACACTGTGGTATTTAGCTGAGAGTGGATTTCCATGGGATCGTTTTGACTTGATATCAATGGTTAAGTGTTTCATTCAAGAAAAAGGAATACTTAATCCTTTCAAAGACAACTGCCCTGGTGAAGACTGGATTACTGGATTTGAAAAGAGATGGAAAGGGAAACTTTCAAAACAAAAGCCTGAATCTTTAACCAAAGCAAGGGCAGAAGGGCTGACAGAAAGTGTTGTCAATGCTTTTTTTCAAATGTATGAAAATGTATTAGTTAAAAATGACCTTCTTGACAAACCGCACAGGATTTTTAATCTTGATGAAGTTGGCTTAGGGACAAACCCTATTGCTTCTAAAGTGTTTGTGTCAGTTTCATCACATACTGCTTATCTGAAATCAGCATGTGGAGGAAAAGCAAGTTACAGTGTTCTTTTCTGTGTATCTGCCTCAGTATGGTATTTGCCTCCATTTATTGTGTACAAACAGCTACATCTGTATAAGTCATGGACGAAAGGTGGACCTCCAAGTACTTGTTATGCAACAACAAAGTTGGGATGGATGGAAGATGCTTGAGTCATGGTTTAAACATTTCATTAAAAGTGTTGAACATATTGAGAAACCTGTGCTGCTCATTTATGATGGCCATGGCAGTCATCTAACTTATGGAACAGTGAAGCCCGCAATGACAAACAATATCATAATATCACTATGCTTGCCACCTAACACAAGTCATGCTGGACTTTGGGGTCTTTAAACCATTAAAGCTTGCATGGAAGGACATTCTGAAGAGATGGTTTAGAGAAAGTTGTCCCCAGAAAGTAAGCAAGGAGGTTTTTCCTTGCCTAGTAAAGCAACTCTATGACCAATTACCAGAGAAAAATGCAGTAAGTGCATTCAGAGGTAGTGGACTCTATCCATCGAACAAAGAAGCAGTTCGACATAGGATTGTTTCAGCTGTCAAGCCAGTGGAAAGCAATCAACAGCCAGTGGTTTCAGCTTCAAACGTTATGGAGTCAGAAGCACACAGACCTATGCTATTCAAGTTCAACCAAGTGTTTCACTTTTAGAGACTCTTAACACTAACAGTAACGCATCTACTGAATCTCCCTTTAAAGTGCTGCAGCGAGCAATTTTTGCAGACAATTTCACCAGGTTGTTCATGAAATAACATGAATGCAATTAGCAATACTGGAAGAAAAAGAAAAAGAGTGCAGGCAAAGGTTGGAGAAGTCTTAACAACAGAGGATATTGCGACCAGGCTGTTTATTGAAGAGAAAGGCAGATTGGCAAAGAAATCCAAAATAGCAGGTTTATAAATTTTTATTAAAATGATTTATTTTGAAAAAAAACTTAAGAGCAAAAAACTTAACATGCGCACCTTTTCCGCATACGCAGAGCTTAAAAGAGACTTATAATTAGATTTTTTTTCTGCTAAATGCATTAAATTGATAGCTCAGTGGTTAAATGCGTTGTCATCAGTATTGCTTTAGAGGGTTTTTGAAAAAATTTCAAAATTCATTTACGCATTACGGTTTAAAACCTCCTCTTAGCATAATGAATTTTGAAATTTTTTCAATCTTGCTTATATATTCACTTATATATTCATAGCAAAAAAATAATAATATAGAAACAAAGATTTCTAAAATTTGTATTTAAAATTTTCAAGTTTTCTCATTTTATAGATATATAGATATATGTGATTATTTCATATAATGCCTGCAAACTCAACATATGCTAAAGATGTTTACACTTGCATACATTTGTACGTAACGCTATTCAAATAGAATTAAGAAGATCTAAGCAGATCGAAGCACTAAACCAAAGTCATAAAAAAAAAAATTAATTCTTATGATTAAGAATTAAAAGAATAATAAAACGCTTATCTAAAAGTTAAGCCAAAAAGATTTTGGGAATTGATGTCAGTTTGTGGCCAAAGAAACTTTATGCGTCAAGTTTACTTTTGCATTTATCTTACATTTTTTTAATTAATTTTCATTATGTTGCATACAAATGCATAAAAATATATAAAACTGGTACTGATATATTATTTTCACGGATAAGAGATTGTATTTATTACAATAGAAATAAATAAATAGTTTTTGACTTTATTAATATATATTCTACACAAATATATTCCATATATCTTTAATAGATAGAGTTTTTTAAAAAAACTTAACAAAATCTTATTTTTATGACTATCATTTTTAAAGGTATAAGAAGCAGATGACATAGTTTTAGCAATCAGAAATTATTAAGAGAGGGGCAAATCTAAAGTTGAAGTTTCAAATTTTCCAATTTGACAATATGATTTGTGTTTTTTCAATCTTGTCAATTTATTTAAATATAATAACATTATTTAAATAAATTGACACACCGTTTTTCAAAATGCCATAAGGTAAAAAATATCATTTTTGAATTTTTTACAAAATAAGCTACTTTTTATGTCTACAAACATTATTGAATACATATTTTCAAAAAGTTCTGAAAAAAGTCATTAAAACTATTTTTTTTTTAAAAACGTTTTACAAAGAGTTTATATATACATTGTTTGCGCTTAACCATCTTTATTTAATAATTATTTTTTTAATTGCATTTTTCTCGAAATACGTAATAAGCATATTAAGGCGTTTTGAAAAACAGCTGC